TATGCAACCGTTGGAAGTTCCGGTTTGGAAATGGGATTGTATAACCATGGATTTTGTTACGGGTTTGCCGAATACGGTGAGAGGATTTATTTGGGTAATTGTGGATCGACTTACGAAGTCTGCACATTTTGTGCCAATTAATATCAGTTTTCCGTTGGGTGAAGCTGGCAGAGATTTATATTCAGGTAATTGTGAAGCTACATGGTGTTCTGTCGAGTACCGTGTCGGATAGAGATCCGAGGTTCACTTCAGAATTTTGGAGGAGTTTACAAGAAGCTTTGGGTACTAAGTTCAAGTTGAGTTCGGCTTACCATCCACAAACCGATGGTCAGTCAGAGAAGACTATTCAGTCGCTGGAGGATTTCCTAAGAGCTTGTGTGTTGGAGAAGGGTGGTGCGTGGGATACTCATTTACCGTTGATCGAGTTCACGTACAACAATAGTTACCATGCTAGTATCGGAATGGGACCGTTTGAGGCTTTATATGGTAGGAGGTATACAACTCCTCTGTGTTGGTATGAGACAGGTGAGAATGTGGTATTGGGACCAGAAATTGTGCAGCAAACTACTGAGACCATTCATATGATTCGTGAGAGAATGTAAGCGTCTCACAGTAGGCAGAAAATTTATCATGATAAACGAAGAAAAGAACTGGAATTCAGTGAAGGTGATCACATGTTCCTAAGAGTTAACCCAGTGACTGGTGTGGGTCGTGCGTTGAAGTCCAAGAAGCTAGATCTTAAGTTTATTGGACCGTATCAGATTTTGCAGAGAATTGGTGTTGTAGCTTATAGGGTGGCGTTGCCGCCTGAACTGTCGAATTTGCATGACGTATTTCATGTGTCGCAACTTTGAAAGTATGTCTGGGATCCATCTCATGTGATTCAGAGAGATGAAGTTCAAGTCCGGGAGAATCTTACCGTTGAGACGATGCCGTTGAGGATAGAAGATCGTAAGATGAAACAACTCCGAGGGAAGGAGATATCTTTGGTGAAAGTGGGCTGGGGAGGTGCTGCAGGAGGCAGTGTAACCTGGGAATTGGAAAGCAGGATGCGGGAAGCGTATCCGGAATTGTTTCCATCAGGTAATTTTCGAGGACGAAAATAATTAAAGTGGGGGAGAGTTGTAACACCCATTTTAATTATTAGTCTTTTTGGTGTTATTTTATTTTGGTGTGTCCTTATGTGGGGGGTGTCTGGGCGCGTTGGTGAGTTTCCTTAATTTATAGGGATTATTTAATAAGATATAGAGTTTAATATTAAGATAATATAATTAATAATGATGATAATTTAATAATTAGTAGTAATATTATTATTATTATTTGTATTATTATGAGATTAAATAAATAAAATAAGGATTTGAAGATATAAGAAGGGTTTTGGGGTAAAGAGGAGTCAGAAGAACACGATAAACTTTTAGAGAGAGAAAGGGTGAGAAGGGAGAACAAGGAAGGAGAGAAGCAAGGCTAGGGCTACCCATTCTTCAGAGTTCTTCAACAATCTGAGCAATTAATCGAGGTAAGGGGGGAGAAACTGATTGGGATTGGTACTTTACATGAATTGGGTAGAGGGGATTCCTTAACCCCATAGGGATTTGATGAACAAGATGAGTATATTGTTATGTTTATGATTGTTGCTTCTATTGATTAATTTGTGCATATATTGTTGTGATTTTGGGGAGTTTCTGCGTAACGTAGCAGGGTTGTGATTTTTGGTGGGGTTCTGTGTAACTTCTGTGGTTTTGGTAATGACCATGAGTTTTGGTTCTGGAGAGAAAGTTTGAGGAACAATTGAGTAGAGTAGTGTATAGTAGGTGTAGTAATAATAGGTAGAAGATATATTAAGAGTAATAGGCTTGAAATTGAGCAAGGTAACATTCTTGGACAGTGAGGGTTTTGAGTATCGCAGACGCTAGGGACTCATTAGGCGAGCTAGGTAGCGAACAGTTCCAGTATGCCTTCGCTAGCATATTCGCTAGGAGAGCAGGTAGCGAACGTTCGCTAGATACTCGCTAAGCAAGCAGGGTGGCGAGCGTGATAGCATTGTTTGATTTTTGTGGTTTCCAACCAATGTTGATGGGTAGGATTCTTTTGGTCATGATGGGTTTAGGGATGATGTTTGGTGGTGAAGAGTGTATACTGGGTGTTAGATTATGAATTCTCATGATACTTGATTTAATTGATACAATTAATTGGTGTATAATATATATGATGTATGGTGATGTGATCAGGAGGATCGTGTGAACTTAGTGTGCTTGAATTTATTGGTTGTGTATGGTGATGTGATTAGTAGGATCGTGTGCACGCAGCGTGCTTAAGTTATTTATTGTGCATTTGGTGTTGTGCATATCATAGTGTTTTGGTGGGATGAAATCGTTGCTCAGGAGTAGTGTATGTGATCATCCGTACTCCTTTGTGGGGAATGATAGGGGTAGATCATTACCAAGGAGGGGTGTATGTGATCTATCCGGGGTTCGATTGAATGAACCAATGAGTCGGTACTGCAAGCATGGTGTTGAGTTGCATATTTGCATTATTGTGTGTTGTGTTTGATGATTGGATAGTAGGTCGTAGTTGATGCATGTTGGGAGATATTTTATATGATTGCTACCTTTATTTCATGTATCTTATTACCGATGATTTTGATCATGCTTTCTCACCACTTTGTTGTTGTTGTGGTTTGTGTTTCTTCGGAGGTACAGATAATCCAGGTACTTAGCTAGCTTGGATAGTGGTGTGCGAGTCGAGTCTTAGGATGCTCTGATACGTAGCACGAGACTTGGTTGTTTATTTGTTTTATATTGAACTTGCTTTACTCCCGTGGCGTATCGTATTTGGTGAACTTGTTAATGAACAATTTTATGTAAATTGGGCGGATGGCCGAGAATATTGGATTAATGATTATTTCCGCTGTTTATTTTGAAAACCAACTAATGAAGATTATGTTGAACTATTTGATGTGATATCCCACTTGTGAGGGGAAACTCTGATGTTTGTTTGATATAATTTTATTTTATTTTATTTTGGGGAAGTGGGGTGTTACAATGTGCATTCCTCTTTCAGAAGAAAAACGACCCAACAGTTATGGATGAAATTATCATTGAGTTGGAGACTTAACGGCGACGAGGGTTGAACTACAATGCCTACTACCAGACAGTGTTATATCTCCATTGGTTGTGTTTTATTCCATATCCATCAACGTTTCTATGTTATACTAAATATTTACTAAGTGCAGACGAATATACTTTTATATGTTATGATAGGTAATCACCCTTATGACGGAAAGAATCCGACATGAACATATGGATCCCAACAACCCGTCCGTCTAGGTGTTGCCCCCTTCATTTCAGGTTTATGACGTTCATAAATCTCATATTCCATATCATTCATGTATTAACTTGTATTGAAAAATCATGGTGGTTATGTGATGGTTATTTATTATTCGTGGTTGCTGTATAGGACGATGTGAATGGGTGTTTGAAGCTGGTCGAAATGAATGCCAAATACAGACATTATTTGAAGTCATCGTCCAACCTCAAATTTGTATGTTTCTTTTATAACTTTCATTTATTTGAATCATACGTTGTTGACATTTAAAAACTAACACCAGATCTTACAAATTTATGTTCCCTTGCAAACTGTTCAAGAACACTGGTACCTAATGATAATCCACCTAGACGAACAACTAATTGACCATTTCGACTCCTACTGTCCACTAGAGGTTGGCAACTGGAGGAGGTACAACATGAATAAGATTGTGAGTTACTCTTTCTAGACTGAATCGTATCCCATTTAATCAAAACATTCAATTCTGATGACACTCTTTATTCCAAAATGTAAGGTGGGTGTTCTTGAAGATCTAGTCGGTTGGTCGAAGATTGAACCCTCTATACAAAATAGTTGGGTAGATTTTACGGGTTGGAAGATTGTGGAAGTCAGAGGAATTCCAAACACATGGAACATGTATTATTCATTTTATGTTTGATATGCAGTTTGATATGCACATTCATTCTCATATTACACAAACCTCATTCGATCTTACCGAATACAGTGACAACTCTGGTATTTGGTTGCTGGATTGGTTGGAGATAGAGAGTAGTTTTAAACCGAACTACATAGTATGTAAATCTAGTGATGTAAATATATTTCAAAAACTTTATTTCTTTTACTTACATTTACTTACTGATTTATGCTACATAAAATTGCAGCTGGACGACAATAGAGTAAGAATGAGAACTGCTGATGCGTTGATGCTGGGTGGGTATAACGAATTGAAAGGGGCGTTTATAGGGAGCACTGCAACCTTCATTAACTAACGATCTGTTGGAATTGTTGGTTACATTTTGTTGCTACTTCTGGAAATGTTTTTTGAAGAAGTACTTTTGGAAATTTTTACATGTGCTACACAGTTTTTTATGCCACTTTGTCAGAAGTTATTGGATAATTAAATGTAATGAACAATATTTATGGTGATTAACAAAGTTAAATATGTGCAACATTACACTTATTAATAAAAATGATAAAGAAACATTTAATTTCATTTTGTTATAACTACTATTTCCATTATTATTTATTTTATTTTTTGTCATTATGTATTTCTTTATTGTGGATTTTATTTCTTGTCATTATGCCTTTTATATTACACTGTCCCCTTTTCTCTTTTTTAATACAACAACAATTGACTTTAATAATAATATTTCACACTAATATTTTTAAAAATATCCATACAATTCATCAAATAAAGAAATACTAAAATATTTAAGAAAACATCACATTGAAAGCTAAAATCACATTACAATTAAATTTAACAAGACTCATGCAGAAAACTCAAGCTCATTATCCTCAATAAAATTAAAAAGGTCATCAACAACAAACTTCCATACGGTATTAGCAAGGGCCGAACCTTCTTTTCAAACCAGCCAACATCACATTGTAGCCTGCACTATTTGTTTAACATATTTTGTTACGAAATGTACAAATCAATATAAATATTAGGTCGATATTTAAAAATGAGGTACGATACATACCATCACAATGTTAAACTCTTCATTGACATCACTGCAGTAAACATCTGCATATCCATGTGACTCCTCGTCAAAGGTTTGCGAATCTTGAACTACCTTATACGATGCCCAGTTATGACCCGGTGTTCCACAATTTCCACACCTTCTAGTAGTTCTCTGCTTTGAATTTTCAGTCTTTTGTCTCTCTTGCGATATAGACACAGACACACCACCTCTCTTCCTGATACGTGGTGGATTACCTAAACTCGTTTCTTCTGGTGTATCAATGTCAGGGTTCAGACCAATTTCACTTCCACCAACTGCTTCTAAAACATCAGTTTGTTTTTCAACCATTTCTATTGTGGATCTTAAGTGTTCCGGGCTACCAGACTCAAGAGTTGTATTAACCATTCTCTTACATCATTCAACAAATGTATCATATGTCGTTGCAAATGTGGGATCCGTCATACCTGCCGAGTTTTGATTACATGTATTTACCTTGTCCTTCGCACTTTTCTTCCACCTCTTTAACAATAATGACTCAGGAATGTTGACTATGTTCAGGTATATCAAAATGGAAATCAAATGTTCACATGCAATTCCCAGAGTTTGAAATCTTTTGCAAGAACAGTCAAATTGTAAATTTTCTTCGACGAATTCTACTACCCATTCGAAATTTGGCCTCGTATACTTCGTGACGATATATGAAAATACCTATCCTTTATTTGTTACTTTCTCAACCTTGCACCGACAGACTCTACTCAAAACTGATCTAAACATCTTAAAAGTCGACATGGTGTAATAATTCGCTGCAGACTCCTCCAAACACTTGTGTTGAGTTAGTAACACTATCTTGCCATACAATGACTCAAAATCTGCTTAAGTTTCTCTATTCCTAATTTAATTCAACCACCGGAAGAATTGTTGCAAGAAATCAACCAAATTTGATAGAACATATACATATTTTCCAAATTCAGAGTGAAGCCCTTCACACTTAGAGGTTGCCTAAAATCCAACAAAGAACTTCCCTCGTATGTGGGTATTAGCCCATATACCCCGCTTTTCATACAACTCGCGTACCCAACTATTATCTTGTAGTTAAAACTCATTGATCGTTGCATTCCATTTTGACTCGAACTCATCAACATCAAAATCTTCCAGCATGCATTGCTTAAACTTGGATACAAATTTCTTATTCTTAATGTTACCAGTGGCGTTCCTTAACAAATTCCAGGAACATAAACAATGGTGAGCATTAGGAAATACCTTTTTTATCGCATTTCTCATGGCCAAATCATCATCAGTTATAACGGATACATGATACTTTCCGCCCATAGCTTCCAAAAATATCTCCAAAAGCTAAACATAACTTTCTTCGGTTTCATCACCAATAGTTGCACTTGAAAACATTATGCTCTAATTATGATGATTGACTCCAGAAAATATCACTAGCAGGGTATTGTATCTTATTTTCCTGTATGTGGCATCGAAAGCCAAGACATCTCCAAAAATAGAGTAGTATGTGCGTCCTATACCGTCACACCAAAACAAATGTTCAAGCGTTCCGTCTTCTTTGACTGTGTGTCTCCAGAACATCATATCATCCTTATATGACATTCTCTTCAGGAAATCAAGTGCCCCATCAACATTTGAATGCTTTGAACCCCTTTTCTTAAACAGTTCGTCGTACGTGTCTCTCCTAGAATAACCAAGCTTTGCATATCCTCATGCCTGGTTTGCAAAAAACCCATAAATTCCGGAGGTTGGAATGCCCGATTTCCTCATGGTCTTTATTTGGTATTTGTCGTATTCTCTCATCTTCCTGTGTGCAGGAAGCATCCGCTCATACTTTTCATCGACAAATTTGTGGTTATGAAAATCATCAAAAAATTTAGTATACCAACGCTCAGTGTTGAAGTCAACATGTACTTGCATTCTTGCCAAACAACCACACCTGCTAGTTGGTTTATGTTCACGCTTTCTAACTGAATAATTGTTGTACTTGTCATCTCTAGTGTCTTTCCTATGGCAGAGAAATGTCTGTTGAACTACTTTACCATTGACATTCCTTACCATCTTACTCTTCCTACCAGCAAATCCATGGATACATCCATACCAATTGTAAAACATAAACGCAACTTCACGATCTGGAAAATGGTACTACATTATTTGTTCATAACTAATTCCTTTGAAATCAATTTTCTCCATATCAGAGACATAATTCACTACGGTTTCTTCTTCAAACATGCAACCCCCAGCCTGGCAGATGTTGTCTCTAGCGTCTTCTTCTAATGACAAACTATCATCTTTCGAAACAAATATATGGCCTAAATCCTATTTGTCGCTACTGCGAAAATAAGGTGCCGGAAATGACAGAAGAGTCGCCATCTTTTGTTATTTATCCCTCAGAGCGGGAAAGGAAACGATCAAAAAAAACCTGACGAAAAGGTATAAGACAAGGTCGTCGCAACCATTGTCTGGATTCGGGAGTCGGTTACGCAAGAGAAAGGTATTAGCACCCCTCACGTCCATCATACTCGATGGGATCCACACTTGTTGTGTTTATCTGACAGGCTTGTTAAATCTATCTACGCTAAAAGGTCTGGTCTAGAAAAAAGAGAATGACTCGGCAAAGTATCGCACTTTATGCCTACGTATTCCCGTCTGGAACGAGAAATCAGAGTCAACGTAGTTTGTCTAACTACGGGTTATGGGGGGAGGTTGCTCGCCAAGATATCGCATCTTGTGCCTACGTACTTTCATACGGCATGAAAGATAAGAGCAAACATAGTTCGGGCTACGAAGAACACAGGTTTGTTCAGCTGTTTTTTATCCAAGTAAAGTTAACAATCAGTTCCAGCAGTGGGTGTTTGCAACTCGATCCTTGGAGACTTAGGCATTACCGTTTGCAGTAGAACTGAAAGTTAACAAAACTCTCTTTACGCAAAGAGTTTTCCTGATTAAGGGTCCAAGAGGACAAAAAGGATTTGATCTTTGTTTTCTGTTTTTTACGGAAAGAAGTGTTTTTTAGTTGTCTGTAGTTTGTACAACACTAGAGACTATGACTTAGGAGCGAATGCGTCCCATATCGTCCAAAGGACATATACTAAACACTCTAGATGATTGAGAGGAGACCGCTCAAACATCATTTCCCAAGTAGCTTAAGGCTCGTAACGCACTTGTACTAACTTGCCTTTATTATGTTTTTTTACTGTTGTTTGAGATAAGAAGAGAAACAGACTCTCTACGGGGAAACTGACTCGATCCTACAGTTATCATGCAATATTCGTCCTACGGTTGAGGTTAGAGGGGAAACTAACTAATTTTATCATGCATGGTTAGAATCCTAATGCCTGTCATAACTTCTCTTGAACAAGAGAAGTCAGAGTTCCTAGGGGAACATGACAATGGAAATCAAATAGTAAACAGAAAAACTGTACAAGAAATTACTGTAAAGATGCATGCAATGCAAGTGAGGGAGGAAATATGTGTGGGGAATAAGCCTCCACAAGCTCATCTCAACCTCAAGCCAGATATGAATAACAGCAGAGACAGTAAAAGGATATAAATGCAATCAAATAGACCACAAACCACACAGGCAAGGGAGCGAAGCTCTACCAAATACCAGCAAGCAAAGTCATACAGTAAAAATACAAGCAGAGGGAGAAACTCAACCTCTAATGCAATACAAGCAAGGGGAGAAACTCAACCCTTAGGATGCTCTTAGGCTTATTCAACTACATGACCTAATCTAAATGTATCACACCAATCAAGTTACATAAATACACATCAATACAGTTAAACAAGAAGAAAACAGACAGGGAAAACAAGCCAGCAATCTCCACAGCAGAGCAATCTTCTGACAACAATCCAATCCAAAGTCTGTAACTGTTCTTCAAGTCCACCATCTTCAAGAGAAGGAAAGGAATCCATGACAAGAAATCAAGCAAGCTTCTATCCTATGTAAGGAAATTGGTGAAGGTGAGAAAATACTTAGAAGGGGGGTTGAATAAGTATGAAGATAAAACTTAGAAATAAAAAACTCAAGTATTTTTATCCTGGTTCGTTGAACTCAACTACTCCAGTCCACCATTCCTAGAGTGATTTTCCTTTCTCAAACAAGGACTTAATCCACTATTTTATCAACTGATTACAATAGTAAGCACTAAAAACAACTGTTCAAAGTCTTCTCAAGAACTACTGATCCTAACTGGATCTTCTTAAGGTTTTCTTACAATCAAATGTAATAACAAATACAAGTGTTTAAAATGCTTCTAATAAAGCTTTATCACAACTGTGATTTTTCACTTAATATTGAGAACAAAGAAATTAATTCTAGAAAGAATGTGAGTTGTATGAGAGCTTTGAATAATGAATTCTTTTCAGGTAAAACGTCAACTGAAGAAGATGGTTGGAGACTTCCTTTTATAGGCACAGTGATCCAAGAGTATTTCACGTTGAGAAGAGTGTACCAAAGGTCTGAGCCTTTTTGTCTTCACATCAAGTGACCTTTCCTAGAAGAAGAAAGCACAGAGAAATCCTTTTTGTCTGTGTTCTTGTGTCTAGCATAAATAAGGAAAGAGTTGTTTGGATATTCCAACGGACATAATCTTTGAATTCTTCTTCATCAATTTTCAGCAAGAATCATCAGATTCTAAATTGATCAGAGCCTTATGATGTTGATCAGAGTTTTGCTGAATTAGAGTCTTTGCAGCAGGTGTGCTTTTAGCGTGTATAAGTTCAGAGCAGAGTTTGGTCAGATCCTCAGTACTGGCAGCGTGAGTACTCTCAGAGTCTTCTGAAGTAACTATGCTTGAAAAACTCTTCATACAAAATTCTTCATTGGTTCATATGCTTCTGACTTGCTTCAGATTCTTCTGGAGCTTCTGCTCCAGAACTTCTGGAGCTTCTGCTTCAGATCCTTCTGGAGGCAACGCTCAGAATCTTCTGATGGCAGCGTTCAGAATCTTCTAATGGGTGCATCTGATGCTACAGAGCCTTGCATATTTCTTATGTTCAGATCTGATTTGCTTCTGGAGTGATATTTACTTTAATATCTGCAGCAAACATTCTTAAGCAAATTTTAGAGTATATAATTCTTAATTACAAAATTTCATAATAGTTATCATCAAAACATAGAGATGTTATTAAGAACCAATATGTGTTCTAACAATCTCCCCCTTTTTGATGATGACAAAAACATCAGAAATTTTGTTTAATTGACAATAGAATAAATATAACTCCCCCTGAGATGATGAATCTCCCCCTGAATTAAATATAAATAAGGAATAGAAACTTCCCTTTTTGTCTTGAGTATTTTTCAGAGTTAGAGCTTGATTGTTTTTAACCATTTGAGAGTCAGAGTTGAAGGAAAATTGCGATCTAAACGCAGCGGAAAACAAAAATTTTCC